TTTAAGAAACAGACAAAACAATATTTTTTTAAAAAAAAGAAATGTTAAAGGTAATCTTTCAAGCAGAAATAAAATGACACCAGATAGAAATACAAATCTACACAAAAGAATGAAGACCAAAAATGGTATATGCTATGAATATAAGAATTTAGAAATACACTGTTTTTATATAATACATCTAGTGGTATACTATCACCTGAGGATAGAATGCAATAAATTAAATATTTCATCTATAAACCCTAAGGCAACAACAAAAATAAAAAGTTACAGCTTATAAATCAACAAAAGAGAAAATTTGAATCATAAAAAAATTAAACTAATCCAAAAGAAGGCAAGAAAGGAGAGAAAAAGTAATAAAGAAGAGTCAAGGAAAACAGAAAACAAAACTCAACCATGTCAACAATCACATTAAATATAAATTATCTAGACACTAAATTTGAAAGGCAAAGTTGTCAGAGTATATAAAAAAAGTAGGATCCAAATATATGTTATCTAAAGGACGCTGACTTTTTTTTTTCTTCTTTTATCCTCACCCGAGGACATTTTTTCCATTTTTTTGTTCAGATAGAGTGGGAGGGAGAGAGAGGAAGAGAGAGAGAGAGAAACATCAATGTGAAAAGGACACATCGAGTGGTCGCCACCCGCATGACCCAACCAGGGCTGGGGACAAACGGCAACCAAGGTACGTGCCCTTAGCAGAAACCAAACCCGGGTCTCTCTGGACCCACAGGCCGATGCTCTAACTGCTGAGCCAAACCAACAAGGGCTAAAAGACACTGACTTTAAACAAAGATACAAATAGATTAAAAGTATGGCCCTGGCCAGTTTGGCTCAGCGGTTAGAGCGTCGGCCTGTGGTCCAGAGAGACCCAGGTTTGGTTCCCGCTAAGGACATGTACCACAGTTAAAGTTTGTTCCCGGCACTGGTTGGGTCATGTGAGTGGCAACCACTCGATGTGTCCCTTTCACGTCGATGTTTCTCTCTCTCTCTCTCTCTCTCTCTCTCCCTCCCTCTCTCTCTCTCTCCCTCCCCACTCTATCTGAACAAAACAAACAAAAAGTATGAAAAAAAAATACATGCTAATATTAATCAAAAGAAGGAATGACACTTCCAATCTCAAAATTTACTAGAAAGCCACAGTAATCAAGATAACATGATACTGGCATAGGATGAACATCTATGGCAATAGAATAGAATTAAGAGTTCAGAAATAAACCCTGGTCAATTGTTATTTGACAAAGGGGCCAAAAAATTCAACGGGTAAAGAAAAATATTTTTCTTAACAAATGGTGCTGGGAAAACCGGACATCCCCATGCAAAAGAATGCATTTGTACCCCTACCTCACACCATACATAAAAATTAACTCGAAGTAGATTACAGACACAAATATATAAAACTCTTAGAAGAAAACACAGGATCTTAAGTTAGGCATAGAGTTCTTTTTAAAAAAATTTATTTTTTTCTTTATTGATTTTAGACAGAGAGGAAGGGAGAGGGAGAGAGAAATAGAAACATCGATGAGAGAGAATATTGATTGGCCACCTCCTCCATGCCCCTCACTGGGGATCGGGCCCACAACCTGGGCATGTGCCCTGACTGGGAATCGAACCAGCGACCTCTTAGTGCATGAGTCGATGCTCAACCACTGAGCTACATCGGCCAGGGCCTAGGCAAAGAGTTCTTAGATGCAAGAGCAAAAGCATAGCCATCAAGGAATATTGATAAATTGAACTTCATCAAAATTTAAAATTTTTGTTCTTCAAAAAACACCATCAAGACCAGTGTTGGACAGTGTTTCCAGTGGTTAGAGCATCGGGCTGCTCGCCAAAGGGTCATAGGTTTGATTCCCCGTCAAGTGCACATACCTGACCCAGTCAGGGGCATGGGCGGGAGGCAACCAATCAATGTGTCTCTCTCACATCAATGTTTCTCTGCCCACCCCCCACCCCTTCCACTCTCTCTAAAAATCAATGGAAAAAATATCCTCGGGTGAGGATTTAAAAAAAAAATACAAAAAAAACCATCATCAAGAAAGAGAAAGGAAAAATCCACAGACTGGAAGAAAATATTTGCATATCATTTATCCGATAGGGATTTTTATCCAGAATATAGAAAGAGCTCTTGCAACTCATTAATAAAAACACAAATACATTAATAAGAACACAAATGTTCTCCCCTCCGGGGAAGCACACCTGCCCCTTTCCCCTACTAATCCCCATCCCCCTCCCTTTCTTCTTCCCCCCACATTTACCTTTACCCTCCTCTCTTCTAAGGACCCCTTTTTTTGCCTTTGTCACTTGTTTCCTAAGCCATTTCTTCCACTGCTCACTTCTTCTACCTCTGATTTTCTAAATAAATTTTCTCTTATAAAAAATAAAATAAAATAAAAACCTGGCTGGTTTGCTCAGCGGTTAGAGCATCGGCCTGCGGTCCACAGAGTCCCGGGTTTGGTTCCCGCTAAGGGCATGTACTTCGGTTGCAGTTTGTCCCTCGCCTGGTTAGGTTGTGCGGGAGGCAGCCACTCAATGTGTCCCTTTCATGTCGATGTTTCTCTCTCTCTCTCTCTCTTCCTTTCTCTCCCTCTCACTCTATCTGAACAAAAAAATGGAAAAAGTCCTCAGGTGAGGATGAAAACAAAAACAAAACAAACAGATACTATAATTTTTAAATAGGCAAAGAATAGAAATTTCTCCAAAGAAGATATACAAATGGCCAATAGATACATGAAAGAATTGTTCAACCATGTTAGTTATTAGGGACATCAAAATCAAAACCACAATGGGATAGCACTTCATACGGATTAACAATCATTGGTAAAAATGAGAAGAAACTGGAATACTTATGTATTGCTAGTGGGAATAGAAAATATTACAAACAGTTTAGCAGTTCCTCAAAGTATTAACATACAGTTACCATATAACCCAGCAATTCCACTCCCAAGTATCTAACCAAGAAAAATAAAAACATATGTCCACACAAAAACTGTACAAATGTTCATAGCTGCACTATTCATAATAGCCAAAACATGGAAAGAACACAAATGACCATGAACTGACGGATAAACTTTGACACATACCTCGTACCATATATAAAAATTAACTCAAACTGGATCACAGACCTAACCCTTATGAAAAATATTAAGAGAAACATCTCTGCTGATTAAGCACAGATTTCTGAGGTATGACACTAACATCACAATCAAAAAAAGAAAATTTCTCAAATTGAACTTCAACAAAATTAAAAATGTCTGCTCTTAGAAAGATACTGTTAAGAGAATGAAAAGACAAGCCACAGATTAAGAGAAAATATTTACAAATCATTTACCCAATAAAGGACTTATATTCATACAATGAAAGCTACTCATAAATAAAAAAATAATGAACTGTTGATAAGTCTTGATAGTGAGTACACAGCTGTTATTATGTTTCTCTATACTTTTCTGTATACTTGAAATATTTCATAATTTAATTTAGAAAACCTACTCAAACTTTTTAATGTTACAGCTAAGGAAACTCAGTAAATGGTAGAGATAAGGCTGGAGCCTAGATCTTTAGTCTTCCAGTCAATGCTTTTTCCACCCTATCCTGGGGAACAGTGTAATCTGCATCATAAGGTTCAGAGAGAAATGCTTACCCTTAAATTTATCCACTGTCCCAATGTTTTGAAGAATTCTTCTAGGACTAGTCGCTGCAAAACAAGCTGCCTTCTCATATTCACCAAGTGAGATTAATTCATTGAACCTACAGCCATTGCATTTCATTATACATTATAAATAATACACACACAAAAAGAAAACATTAGAAATGTCTAATACAGACTAAACACCATGGCATAGTAATATAGAAAAGCAATGATAATGTATTATAACTTGATTCAGTCACTCTGTAAGATGTTCTTTCACTTCTTTCCTTAATATTTTGTCATTTTTGTAGCCTCAGAATAAAACTCTCATCTGCTAGCACACTTTGAACCTGATCCTATACTTTATTCCTATAGTATTTATAGCAAGCCACAGAAAATGGACAGAACTTGAGGTGAATTTACAATGAGCTCAGATTTTTTCTGTCATATCATCTCCAGATAAAAGGGGGTGAAGAAGAGCAATCTTCTTAGAGGCTCACCTAGGGGAAATATTAATTGAACACAAAGGCTGCCAAGTTGAAGATCAAGAGGTGTCCTTGGTTTTCAGAAGCCTATGTTGCTCTGCCAGGCACCAAATGCCCAATTAAATATGAGACTAACACAAGAAGAAAAGATAATAGTTCAAATAACTTAAGCCTCTAGTCCCCTTCCTAGGGCATTATGTCTTCAAATCAGCCCTTACCTCACAATGAATAAAACTATGGTGAACATGATTTATACAGTATTGCACATGAATGTGGAACCCCAGAGGAGAAAAATGCCAAAGTAATATTAAGCAAAATATATAAAATGTTTTTCTCTCATATCTAAAGCTGGTAGACTTAGAGAAGCATACAGTGTAAGGAAATAACACGGGTTTTGGTGCCTCCCCAAATAATTTTCACTCCTTGTTTGTATCATATCAATATGCAAATTAACAGTTGAAAACTGTTTAACATGTAAGATTAGGATTATTTCATATGTTTATTATATACCGACATTATAGCCTATGAATTCACTTCTGAAAGAATAAAATCTTAAATTTCTTTAAACCGCTGTTATGCACTATATATAATAAATTAAGTATTGGCAAAAATATGCCTTCTTATGTCATAGGATGAAAATAATGAGGAGGAAAAAGACTGAATTGGTTAGGATAATCTGACACAAGAAGACATTCTCAAAAATGTTTTGTAACATTAAATTGATGGTGAGGGAGTGCAAGGAAAAATATAAATAAGAGTTAAATCAATACTACATCCACCTATATTCTCTGAAATATTTCCTAGACCACCAATCTAGTATTTTTTTAAAGAATCTATTTTTTTAATTCTAGCTTATTTTCTAATTTGTCTATTAGAGTAAAAACCTTTTTTTGCAATGCCTAGACCATGAACGCAGAAGAGATGGAATGATTATTCCATTTCAATTTACAATGGCCCAATGTTATTTTATCCACATATAAAACTGCTCATATCATTGAAAAGACTATAGCAGTAAATGAATGGGAAGTAAAGCTTTAAAGATACAAAGGCTAGAGACTCTAGTTCATCAAGATGTTAAATAAATGCTAAACATTAAATAAATAAATATTAATTATGTATTTAATACGTATTTAAATACATATTAAATAAATGCAATATTATTTTAAAATATTTGCCTTTCAAAGTAGTAAAGCAAAAGTTCAGCTTCTTTTGCCTTGCCTGGATCTTCGTCACATAGTTCTTCACCGATGCCTAGGTCACCTATAATATTGAAAGACCCACCAGATGATATTTAAGGTTATATATAAATTAAAAAAAATGAATGAGCATATAGATGTTTAATACTAACAATTTAATGCTACGGTTTCTAATAGCACCAACCTCTTCTACACTGAGTGGCCTCCCTTTCCCTTTCTTCCTTATTTTAAGGTACTTTTTCAGGTATTATCTCTTTGGCTCACCAAGTCTACTCTTGACCAATCATCTGTCAGCTGTTGAAGGAAGAAGCCCATAGGATAACAGAGACTTAACAGAAATAGGTACAGTTTTGCTTTCCTTAAACCCAGCTTAGAAAAATTCCCACTCTTTAGCTTTGGGGGGGGGGGGGGGGAGTAAAGTTTTCCATTACTTGTGTTAATTAAATATAGATAAACTACCTTGTAAATCTTTAGTTTTCTCACTTTGCTCCACAAAGTCTTGAAATGAGCTGCTCTTATCAGATTTTAGCCATGAAGTAAGTGCATATGAAATAATCTGCAGTCTTTGATGACTATAAAGATAAAAACATCAACAACATACAGAACCTAAAATCAAATAGTGGAATATTAGAATAAACATAAATAAAAGCTTCAAACTTTAAAAATAATCAACTTGCATACCGAAACCGTAATTCTTTGTTCAGACTTTCAGCTACATCTCGTCGTTTTAATTTCATAATCATTTCCTCCTCTAAATCTGCCTTCCTTTGAGCTGGTACATATTTTTTTGACATTAATTGTTTAATTTCTGCATATTTATCTTCAAGATGTTTCAGGTATTTATTTAGAGCATCTAAATTGACAGATTCTTCAAGAATCATGCCTACAGAAAAAGGGAACAAATCAAACAAGCCAAGCCATATGTGAGACTAAAAAGCAAAAGAGGCCCTGGCCGGTTTGGCTCAGCTGTTAGAGCGCTGGCCTGCGATCTGGAGAGTCCCTGGTTCGGTTCCCGCTAAGGGCACGTACCTCGGTTGCAGTTTGTCTTCGGCCCTGGTTGGTCGTGCGGGTGGCAGCCACTTGATGTGTCCCTTTCACGTCGATGTTTCTCTCTCTCTCTCTCTCTGTTCCTCTCTCTCCCTCCCATTCTACCTGAACAAAAAATGGAAAAATGTCCTCGAGTGAGGATAAAAAATAAATAAATAAAAAATAAAAAGCAAAAGAGGTCAGAGAGTTCTCTATTCCAATACATAATTGGGTGGAGGTGGAAGAGGGCATAAAGGGAATGAATGGTGATGTTAAAAATTAAGTTAAATTTGAAAAAATAAAGGAAAAAAAGAAATAATTAAGAAATGGTAGCATGAACTTGTAGTTTACTGAACATAAACATAATTAGCATACAATTTCAAATGGCTAGCAGTTTTTAAACATATCAATGAAGATTCAAAGACTGATTGTCCAAACTTTAGCATGTTAAGAAAATTTTAATGACCTCATCACCACACCTTGCAAACCCCTAATTATTACTGTTATTCAATAACACTAATTGCCTAACAATTCAGGATTTCTGCCCAGTAATTTCCCTCTAACCAAATCTTTCATTAAACTATTACAGCTAACCCCAGAGTTACCTCCTTATTCTCTCCAAAGCAAAGTTTATAAATGCCAGTCATATCTTCAGTCCTCTCTCTGGCTCTAATGGCCCCTTCTCTACTTATTATTCATAACACACACACACACACACACACACACACACACACACACACACACACATTGAATGACTTCTCTTCTCACGTAGGCTAATTGTTGCAATTAAAGGCATACGTACCTCAACATTCTCCTCCAGAAACCCTCTTGTTAATCCTACTCAATTTTAATCATTACTTTACCCTGAATCCTCTCAGCACTTAATCAATTTGTCACTTATTCTGTAGTTATTCATACGTATCTTATTTATGTTTCGTTAGTCACAATTTTACATTTGAAAGGGAGTCTAGTCCCTGCCTCTACCAAACAGCCTGATCATTCAACCTCAGTTGAAATCCTCTGGTGTGGAATAGCTCATTACTTCAAGACTTAGCTTCTTCCATTGAATCTAAATCTGACTTCCTAAAATTTCCACCTATTGATTCTGCTTCTGGGTAAACACTAGTTGAAATCCATGAAAGTTGTTGTTTTTATCCTCACCTGAGGACATTTTTCCTTTTTCCTTTTTTTTGTAGTACGTGCCCCTAGCAGGAACCGAACCCAGGACTCTCTGGTCTGCAAGCTGACGCTCAACCGCTGAGCCAAACCGGCCAGGGCAAGTTTTTAATACAGTTATCAATTCTCAAAGGCTTTCTTATCTCCAGAATGAATACTTATAATTCCTCTATCTATTCACCATACAAACCTCTCAACTTCCTGGATAAATTCCAGGATACACTACAATTTCTCAAAATGTGGCTTAGCTGAAGATAAGGAACCCGTGCATGCTGACATCAATGTGAATCAACAATACTCACCAGAACTTAACACACTACAGTTTTTTCATGTATTATACCATGGGTTCGCAAACTCTAGAGTACATCAGAACAACCTAGAGAACTTGTTAAAACACTGACTGTTGGGCTCTACCCCCACCCCACCTGACTCCCGTCCCTGGAGTTTTGACACAGTAGGTCTGCAGTGGGACCAAAGACTTAACATTTCTGACAGGTTCCCAATTAATGATGATGTTGACCAGGAACCACACTTAGGAACCATTATACTTTATATAATCCAGTCAGACTGGAACTCTTCTAATCTTTTAGGGTTTTCTCATTCCCTTGTTTCTACCTAGAGTCTTGGCTAAAGTTGTGAGTAAAGTACGGATAAAGTGCCCTGGCCAGCTTTGCTCAGTGGTTAGAGCATCAGCCCGTGGACCAATGAGTCGCAGGTTCAATTCCAGTCAAGGGCACATATCTCAATTGCGGTTCATCCTCAGCCCTGGTAGGGTTGTGCGGAAGGCAACCAGTTGATGTAGCTCTATCACATTGATGTTTCTCTCTGTCTCTGTCTCCCTCCCTCCCACTCTATCTGATGATAAATGGAAAAATATCCTTGGGTGAGGAATTAAAAAAAAAAAAAAGAGTATGGATAAAGTCCTGGTATACTCGTAAGATATACACAAAGCACATATACATTAATTTGTGTAATAGGTAATAACTGGAAACAGAATTTCTTTCAAATATTTTACACAAAATACAGTACCTGGAATCGGTTTTGAAGGATCTTTGCAGGAAAAAAAATGTTTTACTTCTTTCATGTCATACTCTGCCCTAAGTTGTTTCATTTTGTCTATTTGCAATTGAATCTCTGAGGAATTATTTTCAATAATCTTCATTCTGAAAAACAGAAAGGCTTTCTTATATTTCTTTCAACTAAATTATTTAATCATAAAATTTATTTTTTTCTAATTTTATTTATTAGAGGAGGGAGAGAGGGAGGAAAAGAGAGAGAAAAACATTGATGTGAGAGAGACACATCAAGTGGTTGCCACCCACACGACCCCAACCGAGGCTGGGGACAAACTGCAACTGAGGTATGTGCCCTTGACAGGAACCAAATCTTTAGTCCGCAGGCCGACGCTCTAACCGCTGAGCCAAACCTGCCAGGACTAATCATAAAATTTATAATAAAACAGATTAGATCATTACTTATTTTGGCTAACTGTCATTTTGAACCATTATGGATTTAGGTGGAAATTTACAGAACAGTGCCCACAAAAAGTTTGCTAACCTCACAAGTGAGGAACAATTTTCTTTCAAATAATCAATAAAATACTCTGATTCATAACCTTATTGAAAATTTGTAAGTGTTAAACATAATAATCTGGCCACAAAGTACTGTGTCTATTCCCTTTAGTTGCAAATTACCTTTGCAATTTAAAAATCGTTTTTGTAAGTAATTGTATTAGTTTCTTATGGCTGCCATAGCAAATTACCACAAACCTGTTGGCTTAAAACAGCAGAAATGCATTCTCTCTCAATTCTGGAGGCCAGCAAAATCAGTATCACTGGACCCAAACCGAGTGCTGTCAGGACTGGGCTTCCTCCAGGCTGGCTAGGCCAGAATCCACTGCTGGCCTCCTCTGGCTGCTGGGGCTGCTGGCCTTCGGTGGCCGCATCACTTTAACCTCTGCCTTCCTGGTCGCATGCCCTTCTCCCCTCTGTGTCAACAATCCCTCTATCCCTCTCTTATAAGGACACTTGTGACTGAGGTTAGGAAATTTGTGACAGCCCACCTGGATAATCCGAGATAATCTCCCTATCTCAAGATCTTTAATGTAATCACGTCTGCAGATTCCCAGGATTAGAACCCGATATCTTTAGGAGCAGTTATTCAGTCTACTATAGTAATTTTGGTCCTAGAGCTAGAGGAACAAAAGCAATTCTCTGAGATAAAACTGAGTTTCCCCTGCAATGGGGATCTTAAAGACCAAGAAGCAGATACACACTTCTTTGAAGCATAATTTGAAGTTATTTCCTAGTTTATCACTGATATCTGGCCCAGCGAGAAAATAACAGGTTAAAATAAATTAGAGACAGAAATGTAACAGGATTTTGGCAAATTAAAAACAAGTTTGTCAGTAGATAAGTGCTGTATGCATCTGATTATTATAGAGTTCTTGGTAACCACAGATTGCTCAGAACAAGAGCTTGCAGTATTTATGAAAGGGGGACTGTGGAAATAAAATTTCCTTTGGCTTTCATCCAAATAAACTCAGGCTTGTGAAAGAAAGTAATGTTAAAAATAAGCAGACTTTCTGCCCTGGCCGGTGTGGCTCCATTGGTTGGAGTGTTGTCCATAC